ATCTATCTATCTATCTATCTATCTATCTATCTATCTATCTATCTATCACTATCATCTATCTACAGTATCCATCATCTATCAATCTATTTATCTACCTACCTACCATCATCTACGGTGTCTGGGAGTGGGGGGCTGCCTCCGGAATCCGGCAGCAGCGAGGCAGAGGAATAAGGGATATATAATATATATAAAAGGAATAATAATGTGCTCAGTGTGCGTATGTGCAGAGCTGCCAGAAGGCAAGAACAGCTGAGACAAAAGGGGAGACTCGGGAGTAAGGCTGGGTGATGATTACCCCTCCCATAAGGTCTAAAGGTCAGGCAAAGGTGAAGAAACCTTTGCAGGAAGCAAGGTCATTCGCTCTGCTTGGATTAAACCTTGAAGCTCTGTGTGGACTTTGTACTTTGGTTGGGTTTTTTTTAACAGTTCATTTGGCACTTTAGTTGTTGGCAGCCATTCAAAGGAGAGAAAGGTGGATGCTTATCTCGAGGGACTGTTTGAGACTCATTACTGGCTGGGAATGCACGTAATTCCCAGCGTTGAAATAAAACGAGTGGTTTGAACTAAGCGTGTGCTTAATTACAGTCAGAACAACGCCGTGCCAGGAAACCCCATTCCTTACCCAATTTGGGGGGTCTCCACATCAACACTGATCGTGTTTGTCCCCCACCCGCCCCCCCGTCCTTCAGATCCTAATATTTTTTTGGGGGGGGGTTCCTCTTTTGACAGAGGCAGAATACGACATTCCGGACGAGACACCCCTGCTTACCGAGGTCAACCATCCTACCCCTTCCTCGGAGGGGAACGGCTCGGATCTGCTACCCCCCATGTCCCGGACGCTCACGCTCGGCTCGGAAGTCCGCCAGAGAAGCAGCTGTTCCAGCTCCTGAGTTCTGGGTTCAAGTCCCGCCAGGAAGCTCCAACTTGCACTCACCGGGAGCCCACCCCACAGGCCTTGCTGTCCTGAGGGCTTGTATGTTATTTCTTTGCTTATGTTTACATTCCACTTCCTTCTCCTCACAAACACACGAAACACTGTAAGTTAAATAAAAGTTGAACGGCGAGTCGCTCACCAAAGGTGCCTGTCTCGTGATCGGAAACCTCCCTTTCTCCGAAGAATGGGAATTGAGAGAGCTTGCCTTTGAGTTGTCCACTTACGACAGTAATAGTCCTCGAGTTAGGTCGGGCCTACCTGGAAGCTACTGGTGACCCAGATTTGAAGTTCTGAGGATTGTCCTCCACTTCTAGTCCCATGGCTGAACGTCTAATATTCGACAACTGGACTGTATGTGCGGCCATATCTAATATTCCTCCCGCCCTCCTGTTTTCCTCACACAACAACCCTGTGAGGTGGGTTCGGCTGAGAGAGAAAGACTGGCTTAAAAACACCCAGCCGGCTCTCATGCCTAAGGCAGGACTAGAACTCACTGTCTCCTGGCAATTGGCCCAAAGTCTCCCATTTGGCTTTCATGCCTAAGGCAGGACTAGAACTCACCGTCTCCTGGCGATTGGCCTAAAGTCGCTCAGCTGGGTTTCGTGCCTAAGGCAGTACTAGAACTCACCGTCTCCTACTCACCCAAAGTCACCCAGTGGGCTTTCATGCCTAAGGCAGAACTAGAACTCACCTCTTCTAGTGATTGGGCTAAAGTCACCTGGCCAACTTTTATGTCTAAGGCAGGACTAGAACTCACAGTCTCCTCGTGACTGGCCCGAAGCTGGTCAGCCAGTTTTTATGCCAAAGTAAAAAACTAAAGCTCCTTGTGGTTGGTCCAAAATCGCCCATCTGGCTTTCATGTCTTAAGGCAGGACTGGAACTCACCGTCTCCTAGTGATTGTCCCAAAGTCGCCCAGCCGGCTTTCATTCTAGAACTCCCCGTCTTCTCGTTCCTAGCTTAACCCCTAAACCAAACTGCCTTAAAAATCACACTTGGCTCCATTTCCTTGCTAAGACCTCATGACCAAAACGTGCAATTTTTATCCAGGGTTTGGTTTTGGGAGTGCGCACTGCCTTAAGTTGTGGCTTCGTTGTGTTGTGTGAATTTAACCTTGAGCAATCTGCCAGGAGTCTCTCTCTCTGCATCTGAGCAATTTTTTCCCTTCTTTGTAGGGGAGTTTATTTTGCATAACCTTGGAGCCCTAAAGGAAAAAAGAAAGAAAAGAATATATTTATTTTTTTCCGGGAGCAAATGCACGCTGGTATTTTCAGCCCATTGTAAATTCTGATACCACTACACATTTTTTCCCTCAACTCTGGAATGCGATTGCAACGCCTCCGAGCTTGCTGACTAATTTTGCAAACAAAAAAGCCCCCAAATTTTCGTTTGCAGAAGGCAAACAGAAACTTGTTTCACATCGCTTCTGGGTTTCTAGCAGGCCAACAGAGAAAAAAAAAAAACCTGTGTTAAGAAACCTCAGCTGACCTCCATGAGATGCCAACTTTTTATAATGTTTGGATGGAAAGACAAAAGTTTCTATCCTCTATGCCAAGAGGTCGGCATTGAGAGAAAGGGATTTTAAAAATAACTTAAAAATCAAGGAAACGTTTGTTTTGAAATCTGAATTGAGCCAGGATGTAGTTTGGGGAATTGCTGGCTTCAACCAGAATTTTTATTTTTATTTTTTATAGATAGATTTATATATGCACTATACCCGTGCTTCGCTACGAAACTATGTGGTTGGGCTTAGTTTTTGGGGAGGAAAATAAGGAGAAAAAAATTGTGCCTCTGCCTACCAGCATCCATCGGTATTCCTCTGGCTAGCATCCTATCAGTGTGTGAGAGAGGTGAAGGCTGTTTGGAAACTGAAAGAGTATTTGCTGTGTGAGCAAGGAGGTGACAGCAAGGAGCCTGGGCAGTGGCTTAGCTCAACTGTTCTGTACTAAAGCTGCTTGGTGCTCTGAAACGGAAACTCCTCTGCTTGTGTTTTACATTTGGAAGAGATTTATTTTCAGGTGGGGAGGGGGAGTAGAACTCCTTAGCATCAGAGCGTGTTAATAATAATAATAATAATATAGGAAATACTCTAAATGCTCTGATGGTCATTTGGAAAAATCCTTTCTTAGAGAGCCCTTAGAAGCCAAGAGGAACCTACGTGCCAAATGTCAAGTTTGTAGGCTTTACGGTTCTGGAGATTTTGTGTTGACGCGTGAGTGGCATTTCGCTTTTATATAGATAGATACAGCTATATTTAAAAATATCTAATTCTCCATAACTCTATAACAGCAAATTTTATTCTTTTCCAGCCCTGGAATTTTCTGCAGATGTTCTTACAGGTTCCTTGATCTAAATTTTCTCTTTTTTTTCCTCATGAATAGTTGTGAGGACATGTGGTCCTGTCCAGCCAGCGATGTTTTTTCAATTTAACTTGCAGAGCGTGGAGTGACTCGTCTCTCTCCGGTTCTCCACCCTCTTTATTTCTGGGAAGGAGAACCGTCTGCATTCCACAAACCGCCAATAAACTCTATATTAGCCAACTTTGGGCTGGATCTGACCCCTAGGGCTCCCACACCCTTCAGGGACGTGTGTAATCACACTTCTCCTGCCAGCCCCACACATTGAAATGCATTAGTCAATTTAGCCGCCGTTGCGTCACGTTTCCGTTAAGTCTCTTACCAGACCTTACCTGGTAAGTTTTAAAAACATTTCTCCATGATAAATCTCTACAGGTAGCCTTCGACTTGAAACAAAACTCTTCAAACTTAACAACAGAACGGGAAAAAAAAAAAAACCTGACTTGCAACCGGTCCTCAGACTTACGACTGTCGCAATATTGCCACGATCACAGGATCAAAATTTTGGGCATTCAGCCAACTGGCATTTACAATGGTCGCTGCGTCTCTGGGGTGTGTGTGTGTGTGTGTCTCGTGATCACTATTTTCGACCTTCCCAGCCAGCGTCCCGACAAGCAAAGGCTCGATTTGCTTAACGACTGCCTGGTTTGCTTAAGAACTGCAGTGATTTGCTTTACAACGACAGGGAAAAAAGGCTGAAAAAGCCAGATTTGACTGAAAAACCGCCTTGTCTTGCTTAGAAATGAGAAATTCGGATCCCGATTGCGGTTGGAAGTCAAGGACTGTCTTTAGCTGACCGAGGTAGTCTTCGACTTACAATAGTTCATTTAGTGACCGTTCAGAGTTAAACAGCCCCGAAAAAAAGGGACTTACGACTGTTTTTCAACTTGCGTCCGTTCCAGCATCCCCATAATCGTGGGATCAAATTTCGACTCATTTACGACGATTGCAGTGTCCTGGGGTCATATGATCCTCTTTTACAACCTTCTGATAAGGCAATGAGGAAGCCGGATTCACTTAACAACTACTAATGATTCATTTAACAACTGTGGCAAGAAAGATTGCAAAATGGGACAAAATTCACTTATCTGTCTTGCTTAGCAACGGACATTTGCAGCTCAATTGTGGTTGTAAGTCAAGGATTATCTGTACATTTTTGTTTTGACAACCGAGCTGGCTTCAGCTTGGTTTAATAAAAATAAATAACAGTTTAAGGAACATTTATAATATATAATTCTGGAGACTTTGAGTCGTAGTGGTAAACAACATAGCACAGACATACATCATAATCCATGTCCAAATATTTAAGGATCATTCAAAACCCCAAATAATAATTCAATCATTATTTTCAGGCGAAAGGAAATAACATTTTCCTTAAAAGTCAGTTTTTTACAAGAATTAATGCTGAGTCACTAACACGATGTTCTGACTCGGCATAAGATATTCCGGTGCAAAAACATTTCCAGGAAAAAGTGAAAAAAAAAGTCCTATGTATGAGTGTGAATTAAATCCAACATATTTTTTTGCTAACTTGAGAAACATCTGCCAGAAAATTAGACAGGGCTCAGCTGCCAAGATGACAACAACTCTTTGAGATATTTTTGGTATTTTGGAAAAAAAAAAAGTATTTTGGGAGCTTGTTTGAAAACTGTGGCTTTCTGGATGAATTTGTCTTTTGTGCCAGTCCGTCACACCTACAATTTTTAATGGAATTTTTTTTAGAGTGGATGAAGGAATAATTTAATAAACGCAAGAAAATATTTTAAAAGGCTCTTTTTGAAGAGCTTAGATCTGTTGGTTTTACCAACCAGGTTGCTACAGGCAGGGGAACAAAGGGATGAAATGAGGTTTTGGAAGACTGGCAAACTTTTAGTAAGACGCTATTTTTTTTTTTCCATTGCAAATATTCAGTTTTGAGGATTTCCTAAGGAAGAAACAGGGAGGTGTTTTCTTCCAGCTTTCAGGAGCAGGTCAAAGCAAGAAATAGTTCAATAAAAACTAAAGTACTTTGTCGGTAGGAAAAGAAATGGGTTGACTATTTAACGTGCCACTTTCTTGTAAAAAAAAAAAAAAAGCACCCAAGAAATATATTGAACTTATGGCAATAATTAGGAACAGAATTTCCGTTGCTAAGCAAGGCGATTCTTTAGTGAATCATACATTGTCCAGGGAAAATCCACCCATCTTAAAAGCATGCTGGCTTGGGAATTCTGGGGACTTGAAGTCATCTTATAGCAGGCGGAAGGAAGAAAGGAAGAAGGAAGGAAGGAAGGAAGGAAGGAAGGAAGGAAGGAAGGAAGGAAGGAAGGAAGGAAGGAAGGAAGGAAGGAAGGAAGGAAGGGAAGGGAAGGGAAGGGAAGGGAGGAAGGAAGGAAGGAAAACAGAGCTGGAAGGGAACTTTGAGGTCTTCTAGTCCAACTAGTCCAGTTCAGGAAGCCATAACAATACAAGAGCGCACCATAGATACAAACTCAAGGTTAACTGCACCATATTTAATTGCAGACAATACGACTTCAGCCACAGAGTGGTCAATGCCTGGAATACTCTACCTGACTCTGTGGGTTTCTTTCCCAAACCCCAAAAACTTTAACCTTACACTGTCTACTATTGACCTCACCCCTTTCCTAAGAGGTCTGTAAGGGGCGTGCATAAGCGCACCAACGTGCCCACCGTCCCTGCCCTATTGTTTCTTTTATTTTTCTTACATGTACCCATTTCATGTATTCATAACGATGTTTATGCTTATACCTATTCTCTTGTAAGCAATTGACAAATCA